GTTGTTAACTGTGCAGGAGTCGAGATGCATTGCAAAAATTGACCAAAACATTTGGAGGCTGATGGCGTTGGAAAGTCAGATGTCTTGACATTCAATGTGATAAACGAATCTTTCGTATTTGGTCGTGTGGTGAAATGTGGTTGTTTCTTGAAACTCTTCATCACCGCTTACGAAACCCCTTAATTTGATAGGTAAATGTTGGAATAGTGGCTCTGGAGCCCACGTCAGGCTTGTCGTTGACAAGCATTTTGATGAACCGGATTTTCCAATGAGCTGTAGATGCTGTCTTAATTTCGTTTGCATTACAGTTAAGTGTTAGTGTGAAGTCAATTCGAACCTACATGTACTTCACCACTGTATTGGTTGTGATCTCTCCTGTCCACAGTCTGCATTCATCTCGGCGTACATTATGTACCTCACCTGGTTGGGACTGGTGAACATTCCGGATGTGCAGTGCAATCCGACACTGCGCAAGGTTAACACCACTACGATGGTGGATGGCAAGCCCGTGGTGTTGGTGACTGCCGATCTAAACTTTGGTTGGCAGACGGCTGTTTCTCTCTCCATTCTTATTTTCTCCGTCATGTGGTCAAGCTTCCGCACCAGCTCGCACAGCACTGTGGGCAGGCTTACAATGGCAGTAAGTTATTCAGTATGCACGCGATTCGTATGTCGGTCTTGAATTTTCTCCTTTGAAAAGTCGTCTTTGACAGTGATGGCAGAATTCGTGTGGATGCGGAGGTTTCTAACTGTAATTTATTGTTGAACGTGTAGAAAGCGGTGTACGTCGCGTAGGCGTGTGTTTGTGTGCAATATGAATTGTTTGAAGTTCGGGTCGGTGCAAATTACTTTGGAATGAAAGGTGATCTGTCAATTTGACTTTTTGAGGCACATGGTAGCGCTTTTCCCTTGGCTGACTCTTGCTTATTTGTCCGTATTGTTTGGTGTAGGGTATCTTGTGTACGGATTGTGGCACATTTGGAGGATGAAAGCGGTGAGAATGGCTCGAATATGGCTGCACCAGTTGATTTAGGCATGAAAAGTACTTGCGGTGGTGGGAGTTCGTGCTAGCGTACGGCCAATGTTGGTGGATGGAGGTGTTTTCAATGCTCAGATACTTT